ATGATTATTGTTGGGGGGATATTGTCTGCAAACAATTGATTTCTTGTCAGCCAACTGCAATAGGCCACTTTTTCAGTGTTAATGATTCACTCTAAGGACCCATCCTATAAATTTCTGTACTAAAGCTGGCTCTCAAAATACCTGAACAATCTGATTGGATACAGGAATTGTTCAGGTGTTTGACAGCCAGCGGGGCTGACTAGCAAGATACTGAAGCTTGGCCGAGTGGGAGATTGCTCCATCTACACAGTTTAGCGTAGAGGAATCTTTTGCACTTTTCCCATCTGACCATAGAAAATCTGCAGTAATTCTATAGGTGTATGGCCAGCTTTAAATAGGGAAGGTTAACCTCCTGGCTGGTTCTCTATCAATTGATAATAGCTTTTTATTTCTTCCATGTGGGTCATTACAAAGATCAGAATAGGGTTCACTTTGTACAGGGGCACCAGGATCCTGGCATGCAGCTTTCCTCATCTATTCACAAATCTATGCCAACTGAGACCTCTAGTTTTATGGAGGAATCTGTTGCACGTTTTCCATCTGACCATAGAAAATCTGCAGATAATCTATAGGTGTAGGCCAGCTTTAGGGTGTTTTGCGCACCTCTAGTCAAATGGACTTTGAAGTGTATGTAAACCTAATCACACCTAATCACTAAAATCTCATATAATATTAAGGTTATTAAAAAAGGACTGTTGCAGAAAAGGTGGAAAGCAGCACACTGACATATTCCAAAAACCAATTCTTTATTCTTCCAACTTTCACACACACAGACTGCACTATCAGGACTCTACGGCTAAGCGCCTGGGTGCATGAAACATGTTAGGATTTGTTATTCTTGTGAAATTGATTTTATCGATCACTAAAGAAGCTGTATTTGGAATATGTTGGCTTGGCTCTTTCCACTTTGTTTGCAACAGTATTACCAGTGACAAGATGCGTGAGAACCCGACTGTGGCAGGCAGTCATGGACACACCTGGAGCGACAACGTGGTTTATTGATATTGTAAAAAAAGCAATTTTCAATACTTTTTAATCTGCATCTATATAAAATAATTCCTGGTAATCCTGGCATAATATTCTTTGTTAAGGCACTTGCTGTTATGGGGTGACAACTCTGTCTCTCTTTCCCAATTGTGCTCATGCTTTGTCAACCTGACGCATGGGCCTCCAATGGATAATACAAGTGGTTGTTTGAATGCACATTACATAGGCATGCTCTAATGTTGTCACCATCAGGTTACACCACCCTGAGAAATGCCATGTACAACACTGGAAGGCATGTACAGTATGTAAAAAGAAAGTGGATGTAAAGAGGCTGCAGGAGATCAGCAGTGCTAAATGGCAATTGTTTATGTTACACAGTGTTTTCGCAAACTAAATGTCATTAAGTTGGAGTTAGTATCTACTTTAAAGCGGAACTCCAGGATTTTGAAAAGTTAACCTTTGCAGTGGGGCTACCCCTGCACTGCAAGGGTTTTATGCTCATGTTGTCTATGGGGCGAACATAAAGAAGAAATACTCACCTGATCCTTGGTCCCACATGGCTGCTAGACCGGTCCCCACCACCTTTTTTTCCCCAAGGCTTCGGTGGTCTAAGGACCCATGATGTCATCATGTCTAATACAGGTCTATTAGATGTGAAGATGCAGGAGTGGAGGGGGAGTGAGGTGTGCGGTTGCTGCCGCAGGACTAAGGATTGGGTGAGTAGCTTTTCTTTATGTTGGCCTCTAGAGAAAAACAAGCCGTTAACCCTTGTAGTGCAGGGGTAGCCCACTGCAAGGGTTAACTTTTCTTTAAAGCTTTCATTTAATCACTACGAAAATGAAAATAATGTTTTTAACCCCTTATTATGTCGCTTTCCATCGAGCTAAATCATTGCTAAACAGGAAGGATGTCCTCACTTTGATAAGCATGCTATCTCGATTCGTGTACAGATACTGAAACTTTGATACTAGTATATATAGTAATGCATTTTGTCTTATTGCCCATGCTACATAATATAACCTCTCTATTTTAGCTTTATCAGCCCTTTAAGAGATAAGAAAAACATGGAGTGAGACTACAATTTCTACAGTAGATGTGATTTTTGACAGCAAAGATTCTCCTAGCAGCACATGCATATGTTTACAGCTGGCCATACACTGCTAGAGTCAGACAAAATTCGAGCTGTATGCGGCCCTGCTGGCACCACTCTGTTCGACAAAAATGGACTTTTCAATCAACTCTTGTCAGGGAGCCAGTCGTAAAATTGTCAGTAACTGCAGCCAATCAGCTGAAGTCGCTGTGGAGCATTCAGACAGCTGAAGACACTGGCTATTAGAACACAATAGCCGATCCTCATCCATGATGTTTAGTATTTCTTCTCATTCAACTCGAGGACTGAACTAGAAAATACACTAAGGGGTCTAGTCACTAAGCTGCCGTAGGCAGCCGAGTGAATGACTGACCTGAAGCGAAGTGAGCCGAATGCTGTTCGGCTATTCACTTCAGGCTGGTACGGCTGAAATCAGCCGTACATCGGGTGTCTTCGCGTCGGCCGAACATGCTCAGCATGTCCGGCTGACCCGAAGTGCAGAAGGATTTCGACTCAGCCGATCCAACATCTGGATCGGCTAAGCCGAACCTCCGGCAGGCTACTCGCTGCTGTTCGGTCTATTCTTATAGATGCCGAACAGCAGTGAGTGAATAGCCGAATGCCGCTGGGCGGCATTCGTCTCCGCTGTTCTGCTCGGTCCCTCTGTGGTATCGAGCGGAACAGAAAAATAGTTAAAAAAGTAAAAATAAATAAATAGAAAACGATTGTGCGGAGCTATCAGTGACAGCTAGCTCCACCCAACTGTTTTCTATTGGCCGGGCGGTTCTGCTGCCGTCAAAAAAAAAAAAAAGGAATGCATTGCTAGATTCCTATTGGCTATTTCAATTTTCAATAGCCAATAGCAAACTAGCTACTGCACCCGCCCTCTGCTGCTGTCAATCACTAGTGGGGACCTGATGGAGAACTGCAGCAGTGGGCGGGTGCTATAGCTAATTTGCTATTGGCTATTGCAAATTGAAATAGCCAATAGGAATCTAGCAAGGCATTCCTATGGTGAATTTTTTTATTCTAATGCCATCCAACGGCTCCGTGTCAGAATAAAAAAGAAAAAGCAGTGTTTCTCTCCTGGGCGGCCGGGAGCGGGAGACTCCCAGAGCATCCGGGAGAGTTAGGCTGTCTGGAGATCAGTGTCCCTGGTTAGCTGGTAACATCACGGCTGTCTCCGCCCATCTGTCAGAAGCAGGCTGTCGGCCGGCCAATGGCCGGCCGTTCGGCCAGTTTCGGCTTTCACCTCGGCTCAGTTGAGCCGAAGCATATGCCTTCGGCTCGACTGAGCCACCCGGCCGACTTTGGGAGCTGTACGGGCTATAGTGAATAGCCCGCACAGCGGCCCTTCGGTTCTACTGAACCGAAGGGGTCCTGGGGCCGAGGCTAGCCGAAGGATCAGCCGAAGCTACGGCTAGATCCTTCGGCTGCTTCGTGACCCCTAAGGCTTTATTCACTCCTACATAGTAAGTACGTTCTGTGATATCTGTGGCAGCTTTAACATGGCAGCACAACAATTCTTTAATTGGTTCTATTGATATTTCAGCAGTACTGTTACATTCACACATTTATGAAACAACCCTCAGCAGTGCAAATGCATTTAACTGCTATTATATTGCTTCCTTCAATAAAAGTGTTCTCACTCTGAGTTAATGCAACTGTCTGTCTCCTACCAAATTGCAGTGATACACCTACACATTGGAAAGTCTCTCTGTGAGCAATTGTCAACCCCAATATAGCTAAAATATCTCTACTTGGGCTGCACTTGTTTGCTGCGAATTAGAATTGGGCAAGTTTGGTTGGCTAATGGAACAGGAAGGTATTCCTTACACAATAAACAGGCACCCAAGTCAGATACAATAGTTGAGAAGAAAGGCAAATCTCTTGTTTTTTTACATAACTAGTGAGAAGTCCGACCCCCTACGGCTACTCTTACAAGACTTTCTAATCGTGAAAGTATTGCATTATTTTCCTAATTCAAATTCAAATTGTTCAGTGACTTCAATTCTATGACTGACACTAAACATTTCATAACAAAGGCAGTCTCAAAGTAAAGATGCAGGCAGTTATAATATAATCCAGTTATATACTTATTCAAAATATTTATATGCATTTACTTATAACCAAGAACTGCCTTAATGTGTCTTTGTACTAGTCTTTCATAATCGCCTGGACATCAGCGTTCAGATTGGGACAAGAAGAGCCAGCATTGTAATCCACTCAGCACACACTGTTGTAAATCTAACATATGGAGCTTGCTAATTTGAGAAGTGAGTCACAAAGATGTCTTCATCATTGAGCTACTTTCCTTTCCTATGCAATCACAGGCACCATGATGTATTGCTTTGACTGCAAAGAAGGAACAGGGGCATACAGTAGTATAGTACTGTATTTAATAAACAGGTCTGGATTAGAAAACTGGCTTATCAAAATTACAAATCTTTTAGGGGGTAAGATAGTATATATATAT